CCGCCTAACCTGCTAGTAAAGTTGCGTTGTAAACACGCGTACTTGTAAGTTGTAACGTTATTATTAGGCCTATACATACGATTGTTAACAACCAGTTCGTGGAGGTCATTAAATTCTAAGAACAGGTTCGCACGAACCGGCTGAATCCCACCACTGCATATGACACATAAATAGCATTACACTTGGCATCACTGAACTATACACTTTGGAGATTTAGTGGACTGTGAATGACATCATCAATATGTCTCCTTGCTGTGATGTCAAAATATATCATTGTCCACATCACTGTGAATTGTAACCTGGGAAATTCCATACATCTTCAGATTAAAATAAATTTAAAACTGAAGGTTTTACCCAAAAAAGATACAGCAAAGTGTTTGCTACTGTGCCACCTCCTACCACACATGTATTTCCTAAGTGTGAACTGCAAATTTGCCAGTTTTGTACTGTTTATGTGTCATACATCAGAACTATTACAAATACAGGATGGAAGATGTGTCAAAAAAAGAACTATTTATAGCTCCTGTCATACTAATATAGTTAACATAATTCTGTTGAAGTTTGCCTGTGGATGCACAATACTTTTGTATCGGACACAATGTGGCTGATCATGGTGTAGGCAGTGTGTAAGGGAAAATTTAACAAATTGTTGTACAGATTGGAGAGTGCTTATGATGAATTTAGAGTAGAACATATGTATAATTCTATATAATGTACAACAAAACATTGGTTTTAATGAACATCATCATTCTGAGTAATAGGTTATATTTTCATGATGGGTAACTTTGCTTTGTGCGTTATCCTTTGTCTTATTTATGCTCTGAAAGATCTTTATACTTTTTTCATTGCTAAGAGTTATTATTTTTACTTAAATTACGGCATACAGTATATTGTTATAAGACCTGATTTTTTTGTAGTATGTTGTAGTATTTCATGATAAAATACACCATAGTATTAATACTCAATATATACAGCAAGCATTTGAAAGCTTCAGCAGTCCAGAACATGTAACTGAAATATTACAAAACCATCTTGTGCACTGCCTTTTATGCCTCTATTTGAATGAAGTTGAAGTTTGTGAAATCTGCAGTACATGAATTTCTTTTGTTTACACTAGTTAAAATCCCAATAGAAAATGCAATGTTTGATATACTGAAACAACTTACTTGTGTTTTTTTCATCAAATAATAAAAGATACAAATCTTAATCTATATAATGGTAATAGCACCAACATTTTCTAGACACAATAAGTTAAGACATTGCTGTGTGTTCAATTGGAAAACTGTGACTTTCTCTAAATATTAAAAGAAAATATAAAACTTGCTAGTGCCTTTTAACTCTCTCAACACGAGCTCAGTCAATTAGACCAACAATGTGAACTCTTTTTACTCGTTTAAAGTCTTTATATAGCGTGTATATCTTCACAAAATTTGGCAATCTTTCAGTTAATATTATATGTCATTCACATACAAAAAATCATATTTTTAGTGAAGTATCGTTAATAAAATAAAATGTAGATTTGTCGAAGAATATATTGAGTATTTGTTTTGAATAGTCCATGTGCAAAGTAATTTTTCATCTTAAAATTAAAAATACTTTTCTTCATTTCAAAAAATCTCAAATTTCCTTTGTGTAATCCCTAAAACCTCCTAAATGCATTTCAAACGTTTTTTTTCAGTAAAACTTTATAGTTTATCTGTTATTTTCTCTACTCTATCTCAAAACGGGATCGGTCAATTTGACCGATCTCGTAACCACCAAAATAAAATTGTAATAAACCTAAATTAACCTTTTTTTTCTTTCGAGAATGACTAACATGAAACTACATTCATTTATCCTAAGTAGCTCTAAGTTCATAACATTATACATCTAGTTATAATTACATTTTATTGTTTTATTTCCCTTTGAACCATGTCTAACTACTATCCGCGCCATTATGAGTTGTAAATCACTCAGGGAACGTGCAGCTCATGTTACATTATCGAATTACTTTACCCACGAGCTGCTTATGTGCATGCCTCATGAACCATTTTAATTATATTATTATTATTACTTATTTTACCTAAACTTAAAAAGATCTGTATTTTTAGATTTTAGTTTCTTTTATATTAATAAGTAAAGAATAAATATGAAAAACAAGAAATAAAGTACTTACCCAATCTTCTTTTTTTCTTACCCTTGTTTGTCCGAGGACAGTTAAGCCTGATTTTTATAGTAATTATAGTAATGCACTTAAAATGTTTTATTTAATTAAATAATGCACCAAAGAATACAGACTAATAACATGTAAAAAGTAGACAAATTCACTTACCTCTCAAATTTTCCTGGCTTTCTAGCTATCCATCAAGAGCCATAACAAATTCATCCAAGCTAGTTGTTAACTTTCCCACAAGAACTAAACTTGTACTCTGAGTGAAATTTATGATTATCTGTTCAGAACACAACATTATACAATACGTTATTTGATAGATGAAAAACCTTGACTTTCTATTGGTTATAGGTTATATATAATGAATTGTGAAAGAGAGAATGTGACAGGTTGGTGTGGCAGGATGGGTCTGATTTTCTATTCAATAGCTCTGTAACCAAACAAAATTGAAGACAATAAAAATTAATTTTTGTTTGAGCAATAACGATTTTATAGAGAGTATTTTAAGCTTAATTTCG